GCCATTTAGTGATCAAATGTAACGTATGTCATATTTGGCATTACACTTTCTTAGTAAAGTACAGATTCTAGTACTTTTGTTGGGTTGAGTCCCATCCATCTGAGGGTGTGGGTTCGAATCCCGGATGGGAATCAACCCAACAAAAGTTCTAGAATCTGTACTTTACTAAGAAAGTGTAATCCCAAATATGACATATGTTAAAAATCCACTTCGTGGAGGTTACGGAAAGGGGCGAGTTGTGGCGAATGGTTTGAACAGCATCTTGTTTGATGTTTTTGTCGTTTAGAGTTAAAATTCCACATGGCAAATAGTTCCATGACAATGTTTTTTCCAGGTAAAATAATTAATCTCCTCTGCAACAACTCACCTCAATGGCCCCGGGTAGTATTTTCATGAGCAGTGTAAATTCCTGTCGTAAATTAAACGGGAACGTGGGCAGTTTGTATCTGTAAGTCTCCCTACTGCTCTCCTGGACCTGTATAGTGGCTTCTCTGTACCCAAGCGCTGTGAACGATGCCTCCAGTTTGATGACCAATGTCTGGCCAATGCGTAATGACACCGTGAATCTGATAAAACACGATAACCGTTGGGTAGTAATTTTAGACAGTCCCCTATACAATCACACATAAAATTAATATACTATCGATTTCTCTTCTTTCAGAACGACAACTAAATGTCACAACCGGCAAATTCGCTATTACTACAACTAAACGAAGATCAATCCCATGTATATTTTAAAAATAATAAAATAGGCATTTATTCCAGCCAAAGACAATTCAGATAAACGGTGAATATCCGGGTTTAACGACGGAACGGATTCCATTTGGCGTTAAGGAAAACTAGCAGTGAAAATGATACTGAAATCAGTAATGACACCTGGTGTTCGAGGAAAGGTAAGACGTGTGAACAGTGAAACGCTAAATCCACCCGTTGATGTTGAGGTAAACGGCCATATGAACTGGTCAGGGGCATTTGTGAACGCTTGTGAACATGTACCACAATCACTATTCACTAAGAAACAGGGAGGTGTCTTAATCTGATACCGAAAAACGAACTGTCCTTTCAATTCTTCCCTGGTACTAAGTACAACGGCCTAATGAAAGACATATCGTTATTTATGTATACTAAAATAAAATGTTTATAAATATTGAAAAACCCAAAGCACACTAAACATTTATAATTTACGTTTAAATAGATCTTGTTTGGAACAGAAACACCACCTCAGACCTCACAGTGTTAATCCAAACGTAGTGAAAAGTCATAGTGATATTTACATTCAGATTCCAAGTGACCCGTGAAGATGCAGGTTAGAATTGGTCTTCAGCAACCCATGCTTGTCGTAAGAAGCGACTAACGGGATCGGGTGGTCAGGCTCGCCGATTTGGTTGACACATGTCATCGTATCCCAGTTGTGTAGATTGATGCTTATGCTGTTGATCACTGGATTGTCTGGTTCAGACTCGATTATTTACAGACCGCCGCCATATAGCTTGAATATTGCTTAGTGCGGCGTAAAACTACACTCACTCAAAGCTACACAAAGTCCTATTCATTTTGCAACGGCGTCCGTGACGTAATCCGACTCATGGCCAGACTTATACTCACACAGTGTTCATGACAGGCGTTGCGATCAGCGTGACTTCCGAGTTGAAGTTGAAGGGGCATGTCAGTGGGTGGTCTTTAAGGGTGTGGGGAGTCTGAAAAAGTATAAACGTTGCATTAATTCATTCGAACTTTTTTATTTAATATTTTAATCTAAATACGTAATTTTTTAAAAATAATTTGTATGATAGCTTCCACGAGGAGCGATATTTAGCATTACTGAGAAAAATGCATTTATTTATTTTTATGGAAGTGTGATGTAGTACCTTTAAGCATTGGCCACAAGGTGCGTATAAATGGGGGCAATTCTTACCGAGTAGTGCCACACATTCTGGAAGCAGTGGCCATTGAACTCCCCCCAGATGCCACTGACACAGGTGCTGGGCTGCCTCACCCCGCACAGAGCATAGCCCGTCTCACAGCTGTAGTGTGCAGTCATCCCCTTGTCGGACCTCACCACGTTGACAACGGCGTGAGGACGAAGGGGAGGTTCCTTACAGTCGAATGAACTTGATTCTGTAAAATGTGGATGTACATATTAGTGTTCGGAATTGGTTGAAATCTCACAATTGATGATTGCTTCATTACCAACGAACAATCATCGAAAAAAATGATGAAGACTATTTATATGATGATATATGACCATAAACTTCCTGGAGTCTTCAAAAATAACTTCTTTATTCTGTACAGGCGGCGTTTCGATATAGATTCTAATGTCGTTGTCAAGCAAAGTGATACATGAGAAGTAATTTTTCTGTTATATATATACATGAGATGTTCGGACAATATCCTTCATCTATTGCCAAAACATCTCATGTATATATATCACCCAAACATACTTCTCATGTATCACTTGCTTGACAACGACATTAGAATCTATGTCGAAATGTCGCCTATACAGAATAAAGAAGTTGTATATCCATAAAAATAGTCCTCATCCTGTACTCTTGCGGTAAACAAAACCCGTGCCCCGGTACCGTGCGAACGCTAAAGCCACAGTACTACCCCACCGCCCAGCATTTCCTTTCATCATTAGACCATGCACTACGTCCGTGATTTAATATGAGTTACGGATTTATATAATCATGCACAAGTATATTCCGCACAGACTTTTGGACCTCAGCAGTAAACTGGTCTGTCTTCAGAAGTGGAGGCTGGACAAGTCGTCATCATTGGTCAGACACGATTGGTCATTGGCCATTTCTTGCAGTATTCATTCAATGGTGAGATAAGGCGAAAACTGGTTATCTTATCGCATGGATGCTTATCATAGGCGGATCCAGATCCTTTTGTCCTGAAAGTTTATTAAATGACCATTGAAACTCTCGTGAAACGAAGTTTGCACTCCACCTTTCTCAATAGTGGGGAACACCCCTCCCCATCTTCTCAAAAAGCTGTATCCCATCTGAAAGATGCTGCCGATTGACAACGACCTACTGCCGTTCATACCCGACCTCTCCGACACATTTCGATACCTAGCGACTAATTTCAGACCAAACGACGTTAGAAACCAATTTTGGATCAGGACTCAATTTTGGATCAGGACTCAATTTTTTATCAGGATTAAATGGCAGTATTACAAACGTCATGATTGGCCATTTCAGTTTTGATACGAGTCGATACGTTCTGGTACGTGCCGGTACGCTCCAATACGTCCATCACGAACCGATGCGCTCTGGATACGATTATGGTCGCGATTTCTTTAACGATGACGATCGATGGTGATCATGATTTGAGCTACGATTGGACCCCGACTGACCATGGACTTCATTGTTTCTTTAACTTCTTCAGAGTGAACACTACAACCCACAACCATTGATGATGGCAGGAGTTGAGGATGATGACAACGTGACATTTGCAGTATTACTGTATGCTTATTTTATCGCAAGAGAGGAAGGAGACGAGCAGCAGTCAGAAGTGTGCCAGGCAATTGTGCAAGGGTACAATGATGAGGTGTTTAGTCTACCTGTGATCACCGAAGCCTGGACAGCAGTAGCTAACCAGTTTGAGCAGAGATGGAATATCCCCCACGACATTGTGGCCCTGGGTGGCAAACACATTGCTATCATGTAGCCACCCCAAACTGGCAGCCTGTACTTCAATTACTTCTTTTCGATACCACTCCTAACTCTGGCGGATGCAGATTACAAGTTTGTGTAGATCGAGCTTGGTGGAAATGGACACATTTCAGATGCTCAGATATTTGGCGACTCGGAGCTGTTCAACGGCCTGGAAGAGGAAGCCCTATGACTCACTCCACCCTGCCCTCTGACTGCAAGCCCTGATGACCAGCAACACAAGCCCTTCTTCATCCTTCATCCACCTCACGAAGCCATACAACAGAATAAGGATGTCCAGGAAGGAGGGAATTTCCAACTACAGATTCTCAAGGGGGAGGAGAGTAGTGGAAATGCCTTTGGGCTCCTGGCCAGTAGAATCAGGTGTCTTCTCAGGACTCCAGAGCAGAAGCCCAACACTGTGAAGGGGATATAGTGGAGGCGGCACTCTTTCTTCACAACCTACTGAGGCTGAGGCATCCAGGCACTGCAGCACAAGAGGCGGACCATGAGGATGAACACCACAATGCCATCCCAGGAGCATGGAGAGACCAAGTGGACTGGCTAGATGTGGATCAATCTCCTGCAACTCACCACTCAGCTAGAGCAAATGCGAAGGATCAGAGGAAACTCCTGAAGGCCTTCTTTAACTCACCACAAGGCCCAGTTGCATGGCAGGAAAGGATGGCGGGGCTATAGGACGAGGAACGTGAGGATGGAGAGGAGAGGATGATATTTGATATTTTGAATTTGCAGAAACTGAGGAAATAAATATTGAGTGTTGCACATCTCGTTACGAGCAAATTCTCCTTTTGTCACAATGTTTTCAATTGTCTTTTTGTGTTGATGTGTTGAAATGAGTATCTATGAAATAAAGGTCAAATCTTGTGATTTCAAGAACTAGTAATGGTGAAACCCATGAAGCATATGAATAAGAGAACTTCGCTGCGATATAACTGAAATAATTTTGAAAACGATGTACAAACCCATTCAATCAGTCATTTCCAAGAAATCCGATCAACATTCAATATATTTTATTTGGCCTAAATAGAGACACCACATGTTGTTGCTTTGCTGAATTTCTCTTGGTTAACTGTCTGTAACAACCTTTAATAGTCAGTTACATTTCATTTCAATTACATATACCATTGAGTGTAACATCAATTAAAGATCATGAAGTCAACTAAATCAATAACTTCCGGTTTTATTTTATTATCTATTTTTCATTTCTTTTATTTTTTGTAATCATTACATATTGTTCTCTTGAGAGTAAGTTCTTGGAATAAAAGGCTGTTAAGGAGTCTCTGTGTCTGGAGGAATGCCACAAGGAATCTCTACTGCTAGTCCAGAGGGTCTCTCTGTGACTGGTACAAGTCCGTGTCATCATCCTCAGCAAATGTGGGCTCATATGGAGAAAACGTGGTGGCCCTTGCCCCTAAGGATCCTGGCTGAGGCTGATTAGTTGGTGGTAATGGGCTGGTCATCATGAACTGTGGCTGGACGTAGCTGCTGTCCTGAGGCCCCACAGGGCGAGGCGGCCACTGGGAGGATTGAGGCTGCAGCAGGGCCTGCTGGGAGGGGGTCTGCTGGAAGGGGGTCTGCTGGTCCTGCCTTGGTGGTGGCTGCGTCTGGCTGTGCTCAGCTGCCCGCTGGGCCCTGTGCAGCTCCTGCATAATGTTCGCCTCAGCATCTCTCCTGATCTCACCAGGCAGCTTGGACAGGGTTTCCTCCACATACCTTACAAAGTTGGATCTGTCACACGAAGCAATACTTCTGGACATGAATTCCACCAGCAGTTCTTCTGAAAGAGAGAAAGTGAGGGATATGGTGTACCGGGAGGGTCAAAAAGAGTATTTTTAGTGGTGCAAGAAGACTTGAATAGCTTAGCTCTGTGGGAGATCGATTGGCAGATGAAATCTAATGTTGCTAGAGGGGGAGGGGGAGGGAATGTGTGTGTGTGGGTGGGGTGTGGATGGGTCTAACAATAATTTAAATACATCTTTTCGACCCTCCCGGTACACGATCGAGGGTGCCTCTTCTTAGAAATATTACTATTTCTAGTAAGTATATCTCCAAGTATATCTTAATGCGGTCTTAAATGAAATCGCACTTGTTATTAGGGAGGGCAATGTTTACTCAGTTTTCCATAGGTCACCCTATCCTCACTGCCCCGTCTGGAGCCGACCGACCCTGGCTCAGAGGCTGTGTGGAAGGCTGGTGGTGAGGCTGTTGAGAGTGATGGTGTTGGAACCCTGCTGGTGGTAGAGGCAGCTACTGAGTTTTGGTTGGTGGAGGGTGTGTGTTCAGTGCCACTGGCACTTGATGCTGCTGCTGCTGCAAAGGAGGCTACGTTTCAGGCATCCACAATCTCAATGTGGGGATAAAAAAATAGAACATATCCCACACCCACTTCTCTGTGCTGTTCATGTCAGTAATGACATCTGCACCTGACCCACTCTTCTTGGCGCGTTTCGTCAGCCGGCCAATCATGCTACTCATGCTTGTGTACCATATTTTAAGTTGCTCCACGGTAGTATTCATCTTGGCAGCCTGTGCAGCCCAGATATCCTCCTTTTGGGTGATATCCTTGAACCCCGCAATGATTTCCTCCTTTTGCTGTTCAGTAAAGGCAGTAACTGTTATCTTCTCTTGGCTTTCCTGGGTGGGATGATCTCATCTTCCTCCTCGGATGTAGGCTCTGGCTGGGCTAGTTCAGGTTCAGGAGGTGGGGCAGCTGTGACCATTCCCTTCTTGCCTCTGGTACCCTTGGGTGGCAAAGGCGTCAAAAATTACTAACAAAAGCAGGGTGACCTTTGTGCTCTCTTCCAGTGTAGATCGATAAATGAGGCATTTTAATTCTTATTTCCGGTACATATATGGGTGCAAGAACCCATAAAAGATCGTGAGCGTCCGTGAAAAAGCGTCATTATTCGTATCTACTCGCATTTACTCGTATCAACTACTCGTGGTCATTCATGTCAGGCTGTGAGCAATGGAACCCGACAGAGCGTCACAGATCACGGGGGATCGTAGCACATCTCAACAGAGCATGGTGTTTGACTTGTCCATAACTGATTCCGATCACCACGATTTGGAAGCACGATTAGATGCAATATGTTGCTCTTTGTTACGATGCAATATGATCTGATGTGATCATCATGATTGATAATTTATCGTGTTGATCGTACAACATTTTTGAACCGTCCAAAATAGTTCTACAATCAACATGATTGCAACGACTGACCTCAAGATCTGATAAGATCACCATGATTAGTCCACGATTAATGCCACCTTGACACTTGTACAAAGTTTGCCTCTGCACTGTCACGTATTTTGTCGTGGCAATGAGTGTAATTTAGATGGTATGCATGAACTTGAAGGCCTAGTTTGCGTACTGTTCGCGTCCTGTTAATGCATAAGCTACGTAGGTGGCACGCAATGTGTGACCGAAGGTGGTGCGCATTGGCATGCAATGGGACGACTTATTTACGTCTAGGTCAAGTATTGTTGGCGGACTGTTTACATCTAGTGTACGGTATGGTACGCATGACGTGCATTTTCCAGCATGGGTATGCATTGCCACAATAAATTGGCGCATGCGTGAAGCAGTAGTGGTATTATTTGGTCCTGCTTAGTCCCGCTTGACGCCATGCTATATATAGCAGGCATCACCCCTAGGTTCTTGCATTCCTCGACTTGCTGTGGACCTATAAGATGTTGAACACCAGAGACCAAGCTCTTATTGCAGAAAAGAACAGTTGTCTATATCTCGCAAGTGCAGCACTATTACTTCTTGAAAACCAGGAGAAAATACAGCAAGAGCAGGCCAAAGAAAAAGACGTGACTCCACCTGGAAAACGGAAAGCAAGGACAGTGTGGGTGAGGGAATGGTTGACTTGAAGATATCACTACGGACATTATGATCAGTTATTGACAGAACTCCACAAGGAAGATCCAAGAGGCTACATACACTACCTGCGAATTTCCCCCGACTTGTTCCAAGAGATGGCGGAGAAGTTAACCCCTCATCTTGAGAAGAAGACCACATTCATGAGAGAATCGCTTGAGTTGGGACACAAGCTGGTAATTCCTATGCAAGTCTACAGTACAGCTCAGAGTTGTACAATCGGAAGTTAGTACAATCTGCAAGTTCTTACCAGAGGTCTGCAAAGCCACCATTGAAGTCTACAAGGACGAAGTACTGATGTGCCCCCAAACTAAAGAGGAGTGGAAGGAGGTTGCTGAAGGTTTTAGTTCCATATGGGGGCAAGGACGATGATATGAAGAAGCCACCCAACGCTGGATTATTCTACTATAATTAGGGTTCCACAGCATTGTACTCATGGCCAATGTAGATGCTGGATACAAGTTCTTGTATGTTGATGTTGGGGCAGAGGGTGGTGCTTCAGATGGAGGGACATGGAAGAACTGTACTTTGCATGAAGCTGTCGAGGACAACCGAGCCGAACTGCCTGGACCAGCACCACTCCCTTTTGATGATGACAAGCCTTTGCCAAATCATTTCGTAGCCGATGACACATTTGCACTCAGAACTTGGCTGATGAAACCCTTCTCTCATCGCTCCCATATTCACTGAGAAATTATCTACAGTTACAGGTTGTCTCATGCTCGTCGTGTGGTGGACAATGCATTTCGAATCTTGTCTTAAAGGCAATTTATGGATTGGTAAAACATTTGTATTTACATTCCTTCTTATGAACTTGATAATGTATCTGTAAACTTATGTTATTACAAATGTAACATCTCTCCATAATCCAATTTCAGGTTCCTGATGTTGCTCTACTACGATGCAACAGCACCCAGAGACCTGATAACTATGTGACCCTGATATGTGCGCCGACAGATGTGGACCGTGAACATTTCGCAACACATGATCTGATCTTGCTAACTCTTGTCCTCTTTGTCTGATGTGTTTGGGGCTCTTCTTGATGCTCTACTTGGGGCTCTCTGTGAGGTGCAGAAACATCAGCACTTGAAGAGTGGGAGGGGGAGAAATATCCCTCTCCCTCTCTGCGACCTCTGTCTCTATCCCTCTCTCTGTCTCTGTTGCTTGTCCGGTCTCTCCTTCAAGTCCTATATCCACTGCTGGTCCTGCTCGTCCTCTGGGTGTCTTCTTCTTCTTGGCAGGCATCTTGTAGATTGTTCACTGTCGATTTTTATATACGCACTGCCGAGTGCGCGTTCATCGCTGATTCGTGCATCAACAATACGTGAAGTAGGTGTGCCCAATGCGTATCGATTTCGTGACAAGCGCAAAGTATTCATGTCGTGCGCAAACTAAGCGGTAACTCCTCTTGCCATCACCACGTGAACAAGTCGTGACAATACACAAGTCCCGCCCGCTTCACGACAAGGTAGAAGTCGCGAATCAAATTTCGTGATCAAAGCTGGCCAATGCGAGACACTGTGTGTCAATGCACGCAGGCCTGAAATTGACGCGCCTTGACCCCCCCACCCCTTACCCTTACAACTATTGCGATAGCGATAGTCTATTGCAACACAATACTGCGATAGGTTTGTCTCTTTGAATTGTCTCATTTGAAGTCATTTCCCAAATGAACGTAAAGTTTATATGAAAAAAATAAAACAAGTTTCAGTGTCGTTTAATAACTGACAAGAAACTTGAAACCCAGATCAAGTAAACAGTTAAAACATAAACTTATTGTTTACTCAAACTCCGAGTCGCATGCCGTCTTTGCCGCCATGTTTGGTGCCATGTTTGGTTAAGAAGTAACAAGAGCAGATAACTCTAAATCAAAGTAAACGAATCTGGTACTTCCTGTTTTTTGCGCTGCGCATTTATCAACAGAAGTCAATTACTAAACTATCGATAGTCAGACATACTATCGATGCATCGATAGTCTTTCGTTTCTTCCATCGATTAATTGTAATAGGAGATTTAACAATTGCAACCCATCGATAGTTCGATGCATCGATACAGCACTTCTAACCATTCTCAACGTTACCAATCCAAACCCGTCCGCTGCCTCATCCGACTAGCTCGTCCCAACCATCACGACCCAACAAGACCTAATCCAAGCAATACAATACCAACCGAACAAGCCTTTCTGTGAGAGCAGAGTATGGAGAATGCATTTGCATCCTTCACCTACCTTCCTAGTGAACTCTTCTCCGAACACCTGGACTTCACACAGAGTGAAGAGGTCCCCAGGGTTGGACCGCCCAGGTGAACTGATCCGGAGGTACCTTCCTACAGCCTTCGTCGTGCACGCCAGGGTCTTCGTCGTCCCAGGAAGGAACACGAGGTCATGTTGCAGACACAATTCACCCTTGTCACTTGCTAGCGGTTGTTTGTTGAATAATTCCACCTTAAAGTCGTGCAGTCTTTTGTCTGTAAACAAATAGTCAGTAATGGATGACATCAAGGATTCATGATGGCGCCGATGACCAGCCGTCTGTGGAGCAGCATTTAGTTGTACAGAGTTGCGTCCCCTTGACACAGCAGAACCCCTTGATAGTCGGTTCACATCCCGTTACGAGGTTTGTCAGAACCGTACCTTTGCTGGTGCGTTACGGACCCGTTAAGATCCGGGGTAGGATTGATCTTCAGTAACCCATGCCTGTCGTAAAAGGCGACTAACGGAATCGGGTGATCAGGCTCGCTGACTTGATTGACACATGTCATCGGTTCCCAATTACGCAAATCGATGCACACGCTGTTGATCACTGGATTGACTGGTCCAGACTCGATTATTTACAGACCGAGGCCATATAGCTGGAATATTGCTGGGTGCGGCGTGAAATTAAACTCACTCACTCACACATTTACGGACATGCTATGATTTAACCGGAGAACGCTACGTTTAACCCACTGACCGATGAATTTTATCATGTTGAAGCTATCGCCATTCTTGGTTCAAACTAACCTTGATTACCTGTTTTCAGTTGTAAACGTTTATGTGAGAAAAATAGCACACTGAATATTCCACATTATATTAACTATATTGGCTGCCATGAACATTTAAAATTATTTGTTTTCGCTATCATAAAGCTCTTATATCATAGTCTACCAGTATTAATAGATACTTACCACAAATACTCCCGCATCCACCAGTGCTGGTTATTTCAACTTGTGTCACTTTGTAGAAGCTGCCAAGGTCAACTGTCCACCAAGGGTCAAGGTCACCATTGTTTGCAGACCAGCACGATTTCGAATCCCAGTCCATTGCTTTGTTGCCATCAACTACGTTAGCTGGGGTGGAATCAGCATAGCTCGTGCTACCCATTGCAGGCTTGTTTAATGAAAGACTCGTCGACAACGGCCCTGAAAAAAGCACGAAAACGTCGCCATGGTAACATCGAAAATTGTAAACTGGTCCAATGATGCAACTCTTCGTTATGCAAGGATTCCACATTATCTTGATTTGTAATTTTTGTTTTGTGTTCAGTTCAATCTCCAACCATGTTATGTCATCAGTATACTCTGGGCTGTCTAACTGGGAGCGTGGCATGCCTGAAGATGGCAGTTAATGTTCCCCTGTCTGGCATTAGGGGAGATAATCAAGGACAGTCCGCTCGGAGTAAGTGGACTATGAGTTAGTGTTGGGAATTGGTTGAAATCTCACAATTGATGATTGCTTCATTACCAACGAGAAATCATCGAAAGAAATTGGTTATCGTCATTTCTCAGATTTTTCTATTCAGGTTGTTATTGCAGATATGTATAACATGATGCAGTTTGCTACTTTAAAGTGATGACTAATGTATCATGAACAAAAACTACTCAGAGTCTTCAACTATTATTAAGTCATGACATTTCAGTTATTGAAGTGAGTTTTCTAAGAATTAAACACATTTTCAGGCCCTGACAACTTCGAATATATATGTTCCATCGACAAGAGTTTCAAAGACTAAAAAACAGTAGTTCCAAAATCGTTTGTGTTCGATTCTGAGAAAATGTGATAGATTGCTTGGTCGTTTCAATTTCAATTAATCGGAACACCACTACTATGAGTGCGACATCCGGGTTACACTGTGTCATGGCAATCAATGGGGTAGCGCTATGAAGAACGAACATCAGACCATATGCACATACGCTTGCGGACATGGATGTGCTATGGTGAGTAAGTATAGTTTTACGCTGCTTTTTGCTATATTGTAGCAATATAACGGCGGGTGACACCAGATATTGGCTTCACAAATTTTATCCATGTCGGAAATCCAGGTAAGAATTGATCTTCAGTGAGGTGAGGTGAAATTTGGTTTTACGTCGTGCTTGAGAATATTTCGCTCATATGACGACGTGCATGCTTGTGCATGTGTATGTGCGGCTGCTTGTACTAGCCCAGACTAATGCTGGTGTTATAGTGCTAGCCCACTGAGATACCATGCCGCAGTGAAGCATGAATACCCAACTCAGACACATTATACTGACTCCGAGCCGACCAGTCCTTGTTTTACCCATTAATGCCGAGCACCAGGCAGGGACCAACAAGTACCATATTTTAACGTCTTTTTGTATGACGCGGTCGGGAATGATCTTCAGTAACCCACGTTTGTCGTAAGAGGCGACAGACGGGATCGGGTGGTCAGGCTCGCTGACTTGGTTGACACATGTCATCGTATCCCAATTACTTACGTGACTTTAATTCCCATTTGAAATCACATATTCTATCATAACCGAAATACAGCCCAGAGAGACATTTAAACTAAACTCACTTGTTTGATTGTTTGGTTGTTTGTTTTACGCCGCACTCAGCAATATCCCAGCTATATGGCGGTGGTCTGTTAATAACCGAGTCTGGACCAGACAATCCAGTGATTGACATTATGAGCATCGATCTACAAAGTCGAGATACGACATGTGTCAACCAAGTCATCGACCTTGACCACCAGATCCCGTTAGTAGCCTCTTACGACAAGCATGGGTTGCTGAAGATTAATCACAAGCCCGATCCACACTGGTTAAACAGACTTGGTCAGACTTGATTGTGTACTTACGCCAGGTTGTTCCCATGCTGCTGGATGGCAGGACGGACACACGGGTGGCACCGGTGCTGAATACAGTGTCTATCACGTCGACAGGGAACAGGAAGGGATAGGCGTACACTGAACGACCATCCACAGAAATCTGGAACCGACAAACAAGTGGTTGACAGAATGAGCACCGAAATACACCATCGTGGTAGGCTAACACGCAAACAGTCAGGACAACGAGCATGACCATTCAATATAGTTATAGTTGCCTGGTACATATTTTTGGTTATAGCATTTGCTGATTGAATTTGTTTATTTGTTGTTTAAAGCTACGATAAAAGATGGTACTTGTTGTTACCCTGCCTGGGGCTCAGCTGGAGGTGGAGGTGAGGTGAGGTGAGGTGAGGTGAATTTGGGTTTTAACGTCGTGCTTGAGAATATTTCGCTCATATGACGACGTGCATGTATGTGTATGTGTATGTGCGGCTGCTTGTACTAGCCCAGACTGAAGCTGGTTTTATAGTGCTAGCCCACTGAGATACCATGCCGCAGTGAAGCATGAATACCCCACTCAGACACATTATACTGACTCCGAGCCGACCAGTCCTTGTTTTACCCATTAATGCCGAGCGCCAGGCAGGGACCAACAAGTACCATATTTTAACGTCTTTTGGTATGACGCGGTCGGGGATCGAACCCGCGACCTTCCGCTCTCCGGGCGGACGTTCTAACCACTACACCACGGAGGCGGTCCGCTCAGCTGGAAGGGTAATAAGCAATAACTCCTGGGTTCGCAGGCAGTATACTGTGTCTGAGTGTGGTATGTGCAAGCTTCCAAACACACACACGCAAGCACACACAAACTAACAAAAACTAACACACACACCCTTGCACACATGTCGCTAAATACGTTATCTTGAACACGACGGTAAACCCTAAACTCAACCCCATGTTTAGCATTATCATTATTATCTTCAGCATAAGTCGATACCACGGTTGCAGGGATGGAAATAACCCATTGCCCGACGTCCGAGTCAAGTGTTTTTTTCTGTCGGGCAAGCAAATTTGTATATCACACTGTACGGGTGTCCAGTTGACTTTCCAATGGTAATTTTCGAATCCCCACATGGGTACAATGTGTGAAGCCCATTTCTGGTGTCCCCCGCCGTGATGTTGCTGGAATATTGCTAAAAGCGGCGTAAAACCAAACTCACTCAGTCAGTCAGTCCAATGGTAATTATGTTGTTTATTTAAAAAATCAGCAAGAAAACGGTCGGTATAGTGGAAAAATTATCAGGGCAAGTGACTTTACATGTGCCACTGTACCGGAGTACACTATCAATTTTAAAGTTATTTCCACCCCTGGGTTGGGACACACCAGAAATGTCCAATAACCAATGGTCTCTACCCACGTGGGAATCAAACCCGAGACAGTTCTACCCCACCGCCCGGCCCACATATATGACACCTACATCTATATACTCCGAGTAGAACGTGTAGAGCACTTTAGCTCCTCTTCCGTCTTGGAAAGGAAAACCAGGGACATCCGCATCTTCCGAGGTTCCTCCACTGAAGAGCATGACGCGGTCTTCGGTGAACTTTATTACCATAGCAACAACGTCCTGTTCTAAGGAACTGGCACTCAGCGACAGGCGGGACCTGTAAGGGGGACAGTAATGTCTGAGGGTCATCGTTCTAACCATACCATGATTAGACATTATTTAGGGACTTGGCATTTAATGTAGGAAAAGGTGTGCATGAAGAATTCTACCATGACGTCAGTAAATACTGGTCCTGATTGGTTAAGTAAAGTCAGTCAGCGGTATGCAATCACCTTAAATACCTCTGATTTTCCAACACAGTATCGTTATTGAAAACTCTTAATAACAGTAGAATGGAGATTAACACAGTGTTGGAAAATCAGAGGTATATAAACGAAATCATAATAGCTCTAAATGTTGCATGTTTTGTTTATTTGAAGTTTAACGCCGCCATCAGCAATATTCCAGCAATATTGCGGCGGTCTGTAAATAATCGATCCTGGAAGAAACAATCCAGTACTCAAAAGGATGAGCATCGATTAGGGTTGGGTATTGCCACAATTTTCGTATTGCGATATTTTGTGATATGTGTTGGCGTATTGCAATATGTATTGCAATATATTGTGAAAGTGTAACACATGGGTTAAGGTAATGAAATTACTGTTTCCTTTCTTTTGAAACAATGCCACTGGCCAATGTCAGGACTCAGATGTGATTGTACAAGAGATCAATTGAAAATGTTACCAAATTGAAAACTTTGCTTCAAAGTTTGGGACTCGAGAAAAAGCGTCTGCAGCGGCGTCCGCCATTTTGGTTTACTTATCCTTACGAGTGCTGGTACCAATCTATTTTTATATATATATATATGGTTTAAAAGTCACGCAAATGCAATTATATGACCAATAAACATTCTCAAAACTATTAATGTATAATAAATATAAAGGTTGTACAATTTATATACTCAACCAATGAACTCACCATGGTTTCCGGGGTGTAAACACAACTTCTACAGCTTCACCTATCTTCGGGGGAGACTTTAACATGACCTGCCGGAGCTGGAACAACGACGACGTCTTCATTACACACACGCCTACATCAACACGCCATCATCACACACGCCTACATCAACACGCCATCATCACATACGTCTACATCCACACATCATCGAGTATCGATTTACCGATGTATCGATGCATCAAATTTCTGATTTACTGAAATTAAGCATATGCAAGGAAGATATATCGACTATACTATCAACGTTTAGCAAATGCCATGCTTCGCTCCAGCTACTATCTATTAAGGTAATCATATGAAATTAAACACTAATAATAATCATGATAGATACATATTATTTGATCAATCATATTTTGAAATATAAACTTTATGTTCAGGGACATGAAGACGTGAATCTAAATATGACATGCAATAGGGGAAGGTAATACGCTTCAGTACATCAATAACCTAAGACAAAAACAGCCACACCAACTCTCGCTCACTTCCTTCCACCACCCGTGATAAATAATAAACGATCTTGTAAAATATTCTCCAATATTTTCAATTGTGTAATAGTATCGCAATAGTAAAATGCCCTGGATTTTGACCCCTATCTTAAAACGCTATAAATTGTAGTAGGAAGATGAACTCACTAGATCTGATCCTTTGGCAGTAAAGGTTGTCTGAAGGCAGGTCCCCACTTTCCCTTCCCACCCCTCCGAGCTGTCACACACCAGGGTGCGGGGCCCATTGTACAGAGACATCCCTTCAGGGCAGGAGTAGGTGGCCACACTTTCCTCGGTTGAGGAGGCCACGTTCACCCTGGCCACGCCCGCCATTGGTGCAGGGCCGCAGCCAAGGGGAGACCACTCTGGGGAGAATACATGATACATATTATTTGATGAATTGTCTCGACACCTTTTCATGCCTCATGTTTATTTTTTTTATCTTTGTCGGTTACTGTTGTCAAACTTTGTGTTTAATTAACATTATTTCTGTTCACGTCTTGTCATTAAGATGGATGGTATTGTGCTGGGCTCAAACACGCCTCTATCACTGCCTCTAATTATAGCACGTGGTAGGCCTACCTTTTCGGACCAGCGCATCTCCGTATATCTCAATCTCACATATAGACATCTGGACAGCGTGGTCAGCCTTGACCCTCACGTAACGCCCCCACACCCCGTCCCTGCACGTGAGCGTTATAGAGGAGTCTGACGGTACGTCCCCATTATACCGTGTGCACAGGGCGGCAACAGCATCCCTCGCCGTCTGCGGGTTCAGGGCGTACACGAACACGGAGAAGTCGCGGAGTGACGTTGCTGCAACACAGGAAGTACTGAGTGAGTGAGTTTATTTTTTTTAATCCGCAATATTTCATCACTATCACAGAGGGTACCACCAGAAATGGGTTTAACAAATTCTACCTATGTTGGGAATAGAACCCGGGTCTTCGGCGTGACGAGCGAATGCTTTACACACAAGGCTACCCCACTGCAGCCACAGGAGTGAGTGAGTGAGTTTAGTTTTACGCCACACTCAGCAATATTCCAGCTACATGGCGGCGGTCTGTAAATAATCGAGTCTGGGCCAGACAATCCAGTGATCAACAGCAAGAGCATCGATCTACGCAACTGAAAGGCGATGACATGTGTCAACCAAGTCAGCAAGCCTGACCACCCGATCCCGTTAGTCGCCTCTTTCGACAAGCATGGGTTACTGCAGATCAATTCTAACCAGGATCTTCACGGGTCGCAGCCACAGGAAGAAGTATAAGATACAGTGCCTTGGTTACAGTAAATTTTGTTTAACGGGATCGGGTGGTCAGGCTCGCTGACTTGGTTGACACATGCCATCGTATCCCAGTTGCGTAGCTGGATTCTCATGCTGTTGATTACTCTGATCAAGACTAGCCGCCATACAACTGGAATATTGCTGAGTTCGTCGTCAAACAACAAACAAACAAAAAACCTATTGGATGAATGAGGATGCACGGAATATCAGAATAAAAGTATAAGAACACCTACCGCATGTAACGCACTGGTTTGTAATGTTGATCTTAATGTCCCGGATGTAAACTTGTTTCTTCAGGTCGACCTGGTACCACTGATTATGATCCGTTATCTGACCTCGCCAGCACGAGTTGTTTTCGGTGTCGTTGATGGAGGTCATGATAGGATCACCGTCAACTCCGTAGGAAGTGGGGACGTTGTCGATGCTGCTGGCGGCCACATTTGCATTCAGCGCCATATTGCCTTGTATACTCTCTGTGGAAAGAATACCAACGGAAGTGTTCGAAAAGCCTTTTTATTCAAAACCAATTAAATCAGTCCAAACAAAACACCATTCCCTGTTACACACACCGTACCGACAATCCGGAGCACAATCCATATCAATCCAGAAACACATCCAGAAATATTATCGGAAATGATGTCATTCGACTTGACATTTTGAAACAGTGAAAGTACTAGAATCTGTACTATGATCAAAAGAGAAAGTAACATATGTTATATTTGGGATTACACTTTCTTTGTAAAGTAAAAATTCTAGTACTTTTGGGGTTGAGTCCCACCCGGGATTCGAACCCACAGCCTCAGAGTCAGGCACCTAATCGCCAGCACACAAAGTCATGGATGGGACCCAAAAAGTACTAGAATCTGTACTTTACAAAGAAAGTGTAATACCAAATATAACATGTGCTACATTTGACCACTTTCTAAATGGCATTGTGTATTCATAACTTTTCACCGTGGAAGCCGTGCCAATTTACACTTATCAGAAGGGCACACACACAAAAACAACAACTACCAATTGTCCCATTTCCCTTTTTGCGGAAGCTGCGTTGGCTGAGTGGGTTAGACGGCTGACTTTGTGTGCTGGCGATTAGTTGGCTGACTATGAGGGTGTGGGTTCGAATCCCGGATGGGACTCAACCCAACAAAGGTGCTAGAATCTGTACTTTGCTGAGAAATTGTAATCCCAAATATAAAGTGTTACATTTGACCACTTTCTAATTGGCATTGTGTATTGATTGAAACAAAGAGTTCAGTTTGACGCTGCTTTGAAAAGTATTCCAGTTATCTCACAGCATGTCTGCTTAATGTGGGACAAAACCCCGGAGTAATGCAGGTTTACCATTTTGTCGAAACCGACGACTGCGGTTTTTCACACCCACCTCTGTCCAGTTCCTTCCTTGTGGACAGCGAGAACGTGGCCTTCCTGATACTGAGACCCACTGTGGACGTGACCACATTTGCATGTTGAGAACTAAAATCCTCAACGGGGTAGTTGTAAAGTGTGTCTCCGTCAACTTCGATCTGTGGATAACAATGATAATAATAGTAATAATGATAGTTATGTTGTTGTTGGTGGCAGCCATGATGATGATGTTGATGACGATGATGATGATAATGTAGATATTTATGTTTCAAATCCATACCGTAAACATAACTGCTACTACCACTACTACTACTATTACTACTAGTGAATTATAATTCGTTAGAATGAACAAATAGCTTTGATTGTTAGTGTTTTACCTTCAAAAAGCATGAAATAGCATGAAATAATTGTCCCCCTCCGAGGGCACGAAGGTAACATGTCATTCAACGTATCTTTCTAATTTTCTGGCTAATTTTCTTTATAATCGCCAACACCTGAGAGATGATGTAATCCAGCTGGGGTCCATGCAGGTAGCAAATATACGCATGGGAGAGAGAAAGGTTAGTTTTACGCCGCTTTTAGCAATATTTCAGCAATATCACGGCGGGGGACGCCAGAAATGGGCTTCATACATTATACCTATGTGGGGAATCGAACCCTTGTATTCGGCGTGTTGAACGAACGCTCAGTACGCATGGTCCTTAGTAAGGTGACCTTCAGTTGTTGTGATCTTCAGACCGTATTTGTATTGTATTGTCGTAAATAGTCAGCTACTGAATTTGTGATAGGCAACTAACGGGATCGAGTGGTCAGACTCGCTGATTGGATGACACATGTCATCGTAACCCAGTTGCTTAGATCGATGCTCATGCTGTTGATCACTAGATTTTCTGGTCCAGGCTCGATTATTTACAGACCGTCGCCCTATTGCCGGAATAATGCTGAGTGTGGCGTTAAACAACATACAAACAAACAAATGCAAGACAGCTGAATTTATTCCGATGTGACTATAAATAAACTCACTCACTAACTCACTGCTTACTGGTAGTACATCGAGGCTTGTTAATAAATCATACACGGCCGTTAAACAATCTGTGATATATTTAACGTGACAACATACCAAGAGATAGTCAGTGAGGTGACTGACGACAACATGCGATTCCCTGTTCCTTGTAAAAGGGTTTGATGACGGGTACACTTGCGGGGATGACGTTCCTGATTCTCTGTAGTTGAAGCTGATGGGGGCAGTGGTGTTCTGTAGGGACAGAACGACGGACAGAGTTGCGCCGAACTCGCCTCGAAGGGTCACTGACCCCCTTGACAAACAGGGAAAGGTGAGATGATGTTTTGGAGGAAAAAGAGAATTGTGAGATCGGCGTCATCAGTTTATGTGCGTATATGTCATTTGATTAACAGGTATAATGAGTTTATTAGAACATGACAGTGACTTTGTGTAACTAGTATTCTCAATTAAAGGCCAAAAATACAATGCAATACACTGCCGCCTGAAAGAACCCGTGAAGGTCCGGGTTAGAATATTAATCTTCAGTAACCCATGCTTCTCGTAGGAGAAGACTAACGGGATCGGGTGGTCAGACTCGCTGACTTGGTTGACACATGTCATCGGTTCACAATTGCGCGGATCGATGTTCATGTTGTTGATCACTGGATTGTGTGGTCCAGACTCGATTATTTTTAACACCGCCGCCATATAACTGG